CATCGCGGTCTCGACTCTCAAGCGGGATCTAGTTTATGTGAGACATGAGGGACACCTCAACAGGTGTTCAGAGAGGTAAATTAACTCGTCCCAGCTAAAATCCCGAGCAGGAAAAATACTACGCGTCCCAACGCAAATACAAGGCGTGTCATCAACGGTACACCGATGACGTCCAGACCAGAAGTTCGTCTGAATTAATGTTCTTATTTAGATTTGAGAAGTTTTCGTCTGGCTCGGTGTAGCAAGCCAAAAGAACCCCTGCTCAGATTAAACCAGAGTATAATCCAGCCTATGCCCATTTAACCCCATGCGTAGTCTGGACTGGGGGTATACTATGGCTGGTTGCACCTTTGAACCAAACATCATGTAAGCTCTTGTGACCGTTCACAGTTTTAATAAATGACTGGTCCATGAGGTGAAACCAACACCACTTTAAAATCTGACTGCTGTTGTTTGAGACCGTCAGTAAACCCAATCTGCGTGCTGCCGTTGAAGAAAGATCAACTTCATAAAAAAAAAACTGAGGTTTTAGATCTTTTATCTATGTGCGGTTTGGATGTTGTGAGGAAGACCGACTCTTCTGATGTGGAACGGTGGACGTCAAAGCAAACATTTGTCTGATAATATTAAGAAATGGAGAAAGATGGCGTTCATTGTCACTTGGAAAACTCTGGTGGCTGCAGACACACAGATTAAGAATTTAAAACGTAGCCTTCTGGTTCGAAAAGAAGAAAAGATTTCTGGACAAAACGGTCGACGATGGACGAGTTAAATACTTTAATAATCATCGAACGTTGGTTCAGACGTGTCTAATAATCGCTCTTGTTCTGTACCAGCAACTGTCCGTTTGTTCTTTTGTGCGTTTAGTTATGAATGTTTGGTTCTTGCTTGTCGTCTTCACAGGTTGTAGGAGTGATCATTGATCAGAGGGATGTTCGTCCTCACGTGAGGTCCATGACTTGTTTTAATATGCTCCAACACTCGGGCGCTCTGTGCGTCCTATAGTGTTGAATTAAGCACTAAAACGGTAAAAACATCATATATCGCCCGGTCTTAAGTCAAGAACAGGTCTTGGTTCTGTAGGTATTCTGAAGGTGAATAAAAAAAGATCTTCAGAAAGCTGTAGAACTGTTGGTTCAACCTTAAAGAGAACGTCTGAAACCTCTGAAGCAAGGCAAAGACGGGCGAGGAACGGATCGAGACGTTTGCACCGTGCTCTGTGCAGGCGACCGTGTTTGAACACAAACAAGGCTCCGTGCAAAGTTGGTTCTGGAAGGCAGCCATGGTAAAGCTGCTCACAGCAGAGGGATTAAAAGTTGGACCAGATCGAAAGGAGAACACATCGATGTCATACGGACAAACGCGCCGAGGCTCAGCGACACAGAGTTCTGTTCACGTCGCCTGCACCGACGGCCATACCAACACCGACAGGTGTGTCCGCTGAATTATGGTTTGTCAAATTAATTTTAATCCTCGAAGTGTTTACGACGCCAGAGAATGAGGCGTGATTATTAAATAAACGTTTTGAAACAACTCGCATATTGTGCATTCAGGAGGATGAGAAACTGTTCAAGTACATCGACCAGGAACGGGTCGGTCGTCCTTTTTCTGTGCAGTTTAATGAGGCGTTACTAATTAAGCTTTTAGTAAATAAGATGACGGATATTTCTGCTCTTAATTGGTTCTTTTTGACGTTACGTTGGTGCAGATTCTGTCATCCAGGACACGATAAATCCATCACAACATCCAAGATAAGGATAAACGAGCTTCCTTATGGGAGTTATTTTTCTTCGTATTCCATCTTGTTCATGATCACTTTTCCCTCCATGTGCGTTTATCGCCTCCATAAAAGGTAATCTGAAAAGTTCTAAAATCAAAATGGACCTTTTATTCTGTTAGCTGAAGATGTTTTGCTTCCTACACTGGGAGCTTTATCGATTAAAAAACAAAATGTGGAGTCTCACTGCATGAGGCTTGCAGATGAATCCCTCCCCTCCCTGCTGAGGGTCATTAGGGTTGTTGCTTGCCTGAGATGAGATGTTTTGGTCGTATGTATGAAGATGAAAACCTTCGTACTTCCTGTGACGCCAGCGAATAAAGACTCTAATGGCCCTCAGGAGGGAGGGGGAAGATTAATCTGCAAACTGCACAAATAAAATAAAATAAATAAAGTTTGAACGTCTTCTCGACTTCTAATCTGTAGATTTGTGGAAGGTGATAAATGCACGATTAGAGAAAAACGTGATCAGGAACTGATTATTAAAGTTTAATTTACCCCTGCCTTTAGAATTATAGTTTGGGTTGGTGCTTCTGTTCGTAATAAATTAAAAGTATTTTTCCAGGAGCTGAAGGTTTTTATTTAACTCGTCAGTCTTCAACATTTCTCACTTTTAAAATATTATTTTTATTTATTTAAAAGCAAAGTTGTTTTTTTGTTGTTTGGTGTTCATCTGATAAATATTACATTAATATTTAATTGCACTTTTGCTTTTATCATAGGGATTTCTCGGATAGAGGCATCATTAAAGCTTGGTAAAATGTGGACTTTTTAAAATTTTATTGTACTAATTAAAGTAATTTAAACATTTCTATACATTTTTTTGGAATTCCATACTTTCCCGAACACAGACCTTAATTGGCTTTAATTTAAAGTTGTTTTTAATTTAATGTATAAGAACTACTTCTAAATTATTTAAAATGTTAGAAGTTCTTTTTAACAAATTTTTTTACACAAACGTTCGTTTTTGGTGTAAAATGTGAAAAATACCTTTTTTATTCAAACGAACACGAGTCCGGACGCTGAAACGATCGATACGTTTTTTTAAAGACGTATTTGTTAAAGCAGAGATAAAACGGTTCGTAGAAGAGACAGCTGATGAACAAAACGAGCGGTTTACTCATATTTTATTTTGTGTCTAGTTCAGGATCGTCAGCCGGAGCATCGATTATCACCAAACGGCTGCGCCGAGATCCCGCTGGCATCACAAATCAAACGAGGGGTTCAAGGTGACCCCCCCCCCCACACACACACTTTTATAAAAACTGTTTCAAATTATTTTTTGAGTTTAGAGTTTCTGTTCAAGATTTAAAAATCAAACGGTTCAAAGTTTGAAGGATTTCTAGTTTTTTGAACCCTGACCAGGCACTCGTTTCAACTTTCCAACAACAACCTGTGCACGTGCCCTTTGACCCCCGCAGCGTTTGTATTCATGTGCAAAAATCCCCTGAGTCTCATTCTGAGCTCCCGCTTTTGGAGACCGGACCGAGGAAAAAGGTTTGCTTTTACTTTAAAAGTCGAGTCCTAAAAGCCGTTTTTTAAAAACCAGATTAAAATAATTTACAGAAAACGGGATTAAGAGGAAGCAGGAGCTGTACAGCAGATTTTAGACACACTGAGGCTACAAATAAAAACAAGTCCCTCATCCCGTCCCCGCAGTGACTGCTTCACAATAAATAACCCTCCACGTTGAATAAATACTCAGAGGTGAAGAAAGACGCCGACCAGGCGAGGTGGGCGGGGTCACTCGCTGACTTTGTCCATCCTATAGACTACAGTGGTGGAGCTGTCCTGGTCGGACTCAGTGGGGGACACTTTTTTCCACAGGGGGGCTTTCAGAGCGAGCTCCTGTTGGAGGCTCTCGTAATCCATGGGTCCGAAGCTGTGCTGCTGCTTTAAGCGACACGAACAATTCAGTTAGTTTCAAAGAGCTCCCCGTTCTTGTGAAAACATCATGCTGAGACGTGCACGCACGTCGAAACTTGCAAACGGGTCACAGAACCTCTGAAGCTGAGCTGGTTCTGTTTACAGTTGAAACCAGATGTTTACATACACCAAGAATGTGACCAAACCTCTCCTTGTCGGGTCAGTTCGGATTCGCAGAATTAGTTTTATTTGTTAAACGCACGCACAAAGACTTCTCAGACTTTAGACAGCCCAGGTGATGATGTCATGGCTTTGGAAGCTCTTGATTGGTCAGTTGACAACAAGAGAGGTTAACTGAAGGCACACCTCAAGCGCTCTGCTTTTTGCATTGCATCATGGGAAAATCTAAAGAAACCAGGATATCAGGAGAATCAGAGCTCCAGAACTCTGGTTCATCTTCGGGTCCAGTTTAAAGACACCTAAAGGTTCCTCTGTCCAACAACTGGACAGGAGTTTAAACACCATGAGGGCGTCCTGCCATCGTACCGCTCAGGAAGGAGACGGGATCTGGGTTCCTGAGATGAGCGTGTTCTGGTGTGAACTCTGTGGATCAGAACCAAGGCTACAGAGCTCGTGAAGACGCTGCTGAAGCTGGTCCAAGAGTCTCATCCACGGTGAGATGAGTCCAGGACCAACATGGACTGAAAGGACACGAAGAGAGGACGAAGAGATCACTCCCAAAACAAGATAAAGAGAGACGGATTACGGTTTGTCCACACAGGGACATTAATGTCCTGTGGTCTGGACTAATACTAAACTGTCTGACCATAATGACCATCATCATATTGACCCATAAGTCTGAGGCACGGGGGTGGCAGCATCATGATGTGGGGGTGTTTCTCTGCAGGAGGGACCGGTTCACATCACAAAAGAGAGAACGTTACTGAAGCAACATCTCAAGACACGAGCCAGGACGTTAAAGCTTGGACACAAATGGGACAATGTCCCTAAACATATGACCCAGTCAGTTTCAAAGTGGATTAGGGACAACAAAGTCCATGCTTTGGAGTGGCCCTCAGAGTCCTGGTCTCAGTCCCAGAGGAAATCTGTGGGTGGAGCTCAGTTCTGTCAGGAGGAATGGGACGAAACCCAAAACGTTTGACTCGAGTCATTCTGTCTAAAGGCATCGATACAGAATACTAAGAAAATGGGAACAGAAGATGTTTTCTCAATACAGAGTACGTAAACGTCTGGTTTCAGCCATGTTTGCAGCTTTAAAGACCCTAAACTCAGCCAGTTCTGCAGCACAGGTGTGTGTGGGTTTCCTCCTCGTCAGGCAGGTGTTGCATGTCCTTACCCTCTGGTCTCCGCCCTCTCGGCGGGGGTCGTGCTTCTTGGCAAAGTGCCTCAGGTTGTCGTAGTTGTGGAAGTTAAAAAGCTCCACCAGATCCTGGAACGACAGAACGACGACTCAGAATCTGAAATAAACTTTATAATTAGGTAGTTGACCCCGGACCACCAGGTGGTACTCATTAACCAGGCAACACCTACTGATTAATCAGGTGCAACGACTGCAGGTGTAAAAGTTTACAATCATTAGTGAGTTTCCTCTGACTCACCTTCTTCGAACTCCAAGGTTAATGGATCATCTGGTCCTGACCCAGTTTTAAAGTCGGCTACATGTAACTTATAGTTTGACCATGAACTGCTCTGTGCGTCTCAGAACATGACGTACCGTGCAGAACTGGATCCCTCTGACCGAGTTGCCCAGTTTGTCGAGCGGAGGCGACCAGCACATGATGCCCATCACGTTGGGGACCACCAGCAGGATGCCGCCCGCCACGCCCGACTTGGCCGGCAGTCCAACCTGAACGGGACAAAAGATGCGGTAAACAAAGCAAACCAGAACATTCTATTAGACTCGTACCACTCCTGCAGGCTGTGCAGTTTCAGCCATTCATGAATCAAAACGTTCAGCTCATTCAGCCAAGTCAGGCAGGAACACTGATTTTTGGATTTTATATATCTTCCATACTTAAAAAAAACATGTTAATGTATTTACAAATACTTTCCCCGTTTAGCTTTCGGCTCCCGTTTGGTCACGTTGACCTTTTAGCTTGGTCAAGTGACTTAGCTCCCGTTGTGGTCTCCGTTAGCTCCCGTTGTGATCTCCGTTAGCTCCCGTTGTGGTCTCCGTTA